AGCAGGAAGAAGGACAGGGGAAACGACAAGTCCAGCAAGCTCACGAAGGCCGAGAAGAAGAAATTTATCGAGAATGCGCCGAAAGTTGAGGATTTCTGTAAGTCATCTGTCATAACCTACCTATACCTACTTGACAATTCGATTTTATAACTTTTCTTTTAACTTTGCTCCAACTTGTCACAACTTTGTCTATACAATTGCAAGATAAAAATTGTGGAATCCAAGTGAACAACCGACCGACTATGCTTGAAAAAAACGATTGCAATATGGTACTAATGTATGTACTTTTTTGCAAACGATTCATTCTGCTATTACTCTTTCTTATTACAAAATAATGCAAAAAACATGTGATATATTTACAGTTTGTGACAAATCACTTTGAATTATCATTATTTTATAAAATAGCGTCAATTTTTTGCTCTGATATATCAAGAAAGTTATCTGATTGAATTTATGTTTGATTTTAGTACCATTGAGTCAAGTTAAGACACTGTATGACAATCTAGATGGAAACAAGGAGAATAAGAAGCCTGCTAAGGCACAAGGGAAAGAACACAAAACAAAGGAGAATGAGGAGAAGAAGAAGCAGCAACAGCAACAAAAACAGCAGCAGCAAACTGAGAAGAAGAAACAAGAGCCAAAGGAAAAACCTCCAAAAACTATTAAGGATGCATTAAATGCAGTAAGACTGCTTTTGATTTAAAATAGACATGTAGAAGCATAGTTACTATTAATTTTTTATCTGTGCATTTAATATATTAAACCAATTTCATTCTTATATTATACTTTAACAAAAAAAATTTTTTTTGCGAAAGCGCAAACATATTGAATTATGCATTAATTTCTTATAATGTACGCAGATCAGTGTGCAAGAGCTCAATGAACTTCTGACCACTGCGCAAATCAGATTCCCTGAAGCTCCCTTGCTCTGGTTGAAGGAACTGGATGCTTTCCTCAACATCAAGATACCCATTAGCAAGGAAGACACAATATTCTCAGGAAAACCCAAGGATTATCCATTAAGTCTAGTACCTAAAGCAATCTCTTCCATATTTGAACAGGCAGTAGAAATGGCGGGGCAACAGACTATACAAATTTTTTACGAGAATACTCTTACGGCGATGGCCACCGACATGGTCAAAGGCATCCCCGTTATCGGACATAAGATATTTTTACAGTTGCTAGCGCATTTAAATCCCGAGATGACCGCCGCCAATATTTCCAAATTGATTAGCGTAAGGAACTCTTACGAAAACAGGAAGAACATTGGCTTGTCTTTGTTGTGGGCATGGTCGCAGGCCGGCAAAAAGAATCTGGCGGTCGGCCTGAAGATTTGGCACGAGATAATGTCGCCGATGCTGGAAACGAAGAGTTACTCCAGCTACGTCGTACAGATTCTCAACGATCTCGTTTTCGGTCACAATAACGTTCACGATCTCAGTTTGGATCTGTATCTGGATATTATTATGGACACCTACTCTCAAAGATTTCAAAATATACAACCGGCGAATCTGGGAAAAGAGATTAGCATGAGTATCGACAAGTTGCGAGTAAGTAATGCGCATTTGAGATTAATTATGTAAACGGCACGAGATGTATGTATTAAACTTGCCGATACGTTTGGGTAACAGCCATGAGACGAATTAAATAATATCTTTTGCAGTCGATATTGTTCAGGAACAAGGATATAAGTTACACGAAATTATTCGAGATGTTAATGGGAAAAGTATCGCAAAAGTCAGATCCGAACTATAGACATGAGTTAGTTAAAGCTCTCGCAGACTGCCTCGTCACGGAACCTCTTTGTTTTACTATTTGGAGTTCTATTTATACCAAGCATTTATATCAATCCAGTCTCCTTCTGGCGTATATCGGTGAGTATCTGCGCTTTTCAGATTTCAAAATGAATGGATGTATTTACACAAAATCATTTTTATAGATACGAATTTACCTAATTTGCAAACAAAGTTCAAAGCTAAGCACTTGAAAGAAACTCTCGGATTTATCCAAAACAATAATGAAAAATGGAAAAAAGCCAAAGACGAAAATTTGGCGCTTGTATGCAAAAAAACATCTCAGGTGAGTTTTATGCATTATTTTATTTACAAAACTTTATCATAATATAAAATATTATAAGCACAAGTTGTGCTTTCAAAATATAGTACAAATGAATTTATAACTAAACTGTTGAAAAAAAACGTGAACACAGCACTCAATAATGTGCATATTTATTTTTATCAATCGACTGCAATATCTGATAATATGTCGTGTTTTCGATTGTAATTTAAAGTGTCTTCCAAGTCCATTTTAATATAAATATATGATATACCTCTTTTTTTCTGTGTAGAGTGTAGAGAATAAAAAAATATTTAACATAATTAATAATCACCGTATAAATGTTAGTTAAAAAGAAATTGTTTCTCCGTTATTGTATAAAAAAAAAAAAAATTAATTATCTGTTTATTTTTAAATGAGTGAAAGTTATAATCGTTTCTTTGCATTTACTCGAGTAATGAGTGCAACGGATATGTATTTTCTTCATTATTGTACAAGCAGTGAGTCATAAAAAGACTGCTTTTTATTGGAGTCGTATATATTTGTGTGTTTACAAGAGCTATGCAGGCGTCGATAAACGCACAGGAACAGCGGGTAAAAAAAATTACTAGTTATTAAAATCAATTACGTCGTAAATTCCGGAGCATGACATTCCGCCACACTCGGCCTCTAACAACGATTGTGCGCAAATAGGTAACGAACATAAATTTGCATCTAATTTAATACGTTGCGTGTCTCGCGGTATTTCATATAACTTGTGGTGTGCGAGCGCGTAAAAAACTTATTCACTTTGACAGATTATGGACAATTAAATTTGGAAAGCATTTCTCCTCTTCACTGAATTGTCCTAGATTTATATGGATTTTAACGAATTTTCTCGCACTTACCAAGCAAACAACTTTCAATTCATCATCATATTTGCACTCTGCAAATGTAACATAGATATATTTAAATGTAAATTTGATTGGTCCCTTAAATCTCATGTTATATGAAGATTCCATTCAATATTATCATGAAATATCTCTCTATACATTTACAAATTAATTATATTTAATTATATTTATTTATATAGTTTTTGAGGGAAGAGAAAGGAAAACGTAAAAAGTTAGATGAAAGTGATTTGTGCAAAATTAGAAAACACAGTATACATGAAATTGAATGACATTAAGAATTCAGTTATAAATAGGTAGCAACTCTTAGAGAAAGTATACCAATTCCTGATCGATATAAATAAAATAGGAAGCGTCATGGTCGATAGACGCGCTTCGTGAAACGTCGTCGCTGATTAGACTCGCAATTTACACGTCCCAATCTCCGTCAGTACGTGATATTCTACGCAGTACGTCATTATTCCACGTCCTCGAGAACCACGTATACATAATATGTGTATCAACAAGTTGAACTTCCCGTAGCATCGATATCTATTATAAATTAAATTCTTCGAAGTTTTTACAAATTGGTATTGTCAAATATATACGTTATATATATATATACATATATATGTATATATAAATACGTGTGTGTATGTGTGTTTTGCTCTCTCTATCTCTCGACATATATGTTCCACGATAAGCTATTCGTTCCGTAAACATCGCGCGTCATTCTATTTGACTTCTCCGAAGAGGAATGACTTATCTACGAGACATCGAAGATCACGCGAGTTAAAATTAAAATTAAGTAACGATTCTCCATTACTAACTTAGTGTAATTATAGGTTTTCAATAGAGATCATAGTGCGCGATCGAAAAGGTATATTTATATTTATTTCTACAAATATTTTTCATATAATATAGATTTGTTCGCGACGTGCTTCTTCGCGATCTAGAAGAATTTCGCGGAGAATTTCGAGAGTTTTAGCGAGGAGATTCGTGCCGCGAAAGAGCCGGAGAAATTCCTCGGCGCCACGTTTGACGTTTGACGTTTGACGTTTGATCGACCGTGGATTTCTAGAACCCTCTCGGCTCTCTCGGGTAGTTTCGTCCCTGTTCGACGGCGAGAGGTGGCGGGCTCGATTCGAACAAACTCCATCTGCTCTCGCAGGTTAGGTAGCTGTTTTCGGGAGTGCACACGACTTATTGATCGTTGCCCCCTCACGACGCGATCAGCTATACGACACTGACATCGTTCGTGTCTCTGCACGTTTTTCTTTTTTTTCGGAGCACGTCGCGGACCGGGATCGGAGAAGCTTATTATACATAACGCCTTTCACACCTCTCGATTTTCCGCAAGTAAGATAAAATCTCGCGCGCATCTGTGTGTATATATATATATGAGAGTGTGTGTGTGTGTGTGTGTGTCTCTCGTAATCTCCTACACTTTCGACACAATTGTAATTATTTATGTGATGGAAATCGCGCTCGAGATGAAAGATCGTGGGCTGATTCAGCTGTATTTTTCCAACATGTCGATGACAGGTTGATTTGTCGAAATAATATAGATAAGAAAGGATGTTATCGTGATTAACTATTGTTCATTAGTTTCCACATAATCATGGTTTCAAAGTCCTTTCAAAATCTTACGTCTTTACGAAGTATAGTTTCTCTCTCGCATATATATTTCACTTCTGATAAGCACGATGATCGCGATTGCTTTTGTAGATATGACATAGTTTTATTTATTACAATCAATTGAAATTCATTCTCGTGCATAAAATAAATCAACGCGAGAAACATATGTTGATAGAAAAGCGATATCTTCGGGTGACGTTTGAGCAGATCTCTCAAAGATGATTTTCGCTCAAACTTTGGAATAAAATAAATTTTTTAGAAACTGATTTCATTATTTATTCTTTCAGACATTATTGAAGAAAATGACCTCTTCCACACGTCGCAGTTTTCCATGGAGATCTGCCAGTCTCCTTCTATTAATGCTTATTGGTGCTATTGTAGCATACGATACACAGAAGCATGGCTCCTTTGAGGGTAAGGATCTCTTGCAAACAACACTAGTCACTCTCTATTTGCTTCTTATTTCATATCATGCTTGTCATTTAAAAAGATGATTGTTCTCTCATTTGTTTTTAAATTTTTACAATTGACTTTATGTAAAATTTTTGTTCAGAGGAATACAATTTCATTATCACATATAATTTTCACAATGGCGTGACTAATCAAATTGTCATGATTGATTGGCAAAAACTTCCATTGCTATCATAAACATCATGCCCATTAATACTTCTATCTCTCTGTACTAATTTCTCTTGTAATTAAATTGGAGATACGAATTAATCTTTTATTTGATTATACATTGGCATTTATGTATTATAGCGTCCCAAATTGGAAAGTTCTTGAAAACTAATGGAATATTGAAATATATAGAAAAATCATGGGCTACCATAAAGTTATATTGGTCCGCAGGACACAAAGCAATTAAAGATAGCTCACCGGAATATTATAAAGCTATTGTAGACTTAAGTACGCCGTATGTTAAATTGGCTGGTGATGTCTACCTTATAATAAGAAATATTTCTGTTAGACTATATAGCAATGTTGCAACATATGTCGAAAAAAATATACCTATAGTTGTCGACACGGTAAGTTTAATAGAAATCTTAAATATTTTATTGTATGTATACAGCTTTGATAATACTTATATAGAATTCTTTCTTGCACAGATTGAACATTACGCTCCAGGTATTATAGAAGAATTTAAATCTAAAAGTTGTCAAGCACTGGAGTTTGTGAAAGTTTCCTTCATTCTGATTGGAGAGAAAGTTATTGAATATTCTACTACAACGATACAGTGGTTGGAGAAGAATGTCTTTGTGTAAGTGTTACACTTATATAAAAGCTGCATATATCACTCGAATATCTGATCATGTGTATTTTCTCTTTCTGTCTTCAGGGGTAAACTTAGTCCGGATAATCTCCGGAATTACGCTATATGGGCTTTCGATACGACGCAGTCGTACGCCAGTCAAACATACGATTGGGTATATGAGAAAGTGCAGACTCTCTCCAAAGTGCCATGAATAAAATCCATTGGTTTGCTCTACGAACAATTATTGCGTTGATAACGAAATCTCCATCTATCCACGCACTTCTGCATTTATTATTTATGACATGGAAACTTTACATATATGCTTTCGAAGATCACGAACACGTCGGCCATTTTACCTGTGATATCTCAAAAAGAGAGCATCTTATTTTGGTTGGTCCTGACGAAGAAAATTTTGTGACCTTCTGGTAAACATGATTAATCGCGACATTTTTTTATTAAGATAAATACTTTATCATTTTTTGAAATCATTCTTGATAAGTAATATATACCTATGTATAATATATCTATAGGTCTCTGTATACGCAAAAATGCGAACTTTAGTATTTTGTATTTTCATTTATAATTTTGAGGATATTGATTGAATATATTCGACTATATTGAGTAATCATAAATAAAATCATCGTTTTTCGTAACAGCTTTTCTTGTAAATGTAATAAAGAGAAGGAGCATACTACCAAAGTTAGAAAAAAATAAGATCATTTATAGTAATCAGTTAACAAAAGAATCACTTCACAGAGAGATGGGTCAGAGCAATAACAGCGACAACAGTGATATTTGTAGAAATAGCAGAATAATATTAATAAATATCGCAAATAATAATAATAATGAGATGATGGTAGTAATAGTGACAAAATGCGATATATGAGTACGATATTATGATGATATAATATAATTTTAACAAGAATATATTAAAGTTTTTCATGGGAAGAGATCTGTGGACAACAGCCACCTCCATAAAGCTACGTATATAAAAGTGAGTGTCTTCATTTCCCTCCTTCAACAGAGCATTTCGGCAGCGTGTTTCTCTTTTATATCTTTTCTCATCTATACGCATGCATTCACAGCTTTTATCCCTGATTACTTCCACAAATGTGCTATCATTAATGCTGCACTTTAGGTGCGTTTACGTTTTTGCAGTCTGTTCAGTGACCGCACACTATAATTCATATGGGAAGAAGAGTTTCATCGTATTCTTGTATATTTGATTACATAGATACTCTTCTTCCTCGTCTCTAATCTGTGCTAGGACTTCCAATATTTGACTGCAAATAGAAATTGCAATTGAATTACATACATATCATTTAAAAATATTAAAACTACAATTATTGTTATAAAATTTTTAACCAAGAGCGAAACTAAATGTCATTTTGTAACTTGGTAGAAAAAATGTTCCATATTGGTACAATGTTTTCTTTAATCTTTACATTATACCATACTTTTGCTTTGTTTTTAAGAAATATTGAAATATTGCCATCGATAATATAACCAATTATAACCGATTTATTCTATACAGATACTCACACTATCGTACAGGGCTCGTTCCGTCCTTTAACCATTTGGTCTGCTTGCCACTTTTCTTTCTTTACAGAAGGAAAATGTGTGATAACATCCTTTGCGGACGCGTGAGTCGGCCTGATTTCACACCATGGACAATCAGTTTCTATCATGAGTCTATCTGAGGGAATGGTAGTGATCGCAAAAAGATTTTCCTCTGTTTTCAGAGAGCTGAAACCCAAAACAATGTTATCAACTCAACTTTCCTCAACTGTCTTTGTCGAGCTCTCACAAGAATCACGCACTATCAATCATACCATCCATTGACGCCGATGTACAAGCCTAATTGTAATATAGAATTAGCGTCTTCCGGATTGCCGTCGAACGAATGTACGACGCCTGGCGTCAATTCGTTTTTGTGCTTCCTCAGAATTCGCACAAAATCGTCACTAGCATTGCGGCAGTGTAGGAACATTGGTAACTTTAGCGTGGAACACAGCGATAACTGCATCTCAAAATACTTCTTTTGGGTTTCCTTGGAGCAAAAATTCAATCTGTCGTAATCCAGGCCCATCTCGCCAATAGCAACAATCTTATCCTTGTTGTTTAGCGCCAGATCTGACAGTGTTTTAAGGTATCCTTCTGGATTGCCACATTCTTCGAATTCATTGCAACGGGTTGGATGACAACCAACCGTTGAATATAGTCTGTCTGCAATATGATTAATCACCATTAACAATTTGTAGATGATACAATAGAAGAACAAAGAATTTAATGTAATATGGTAAATTAGTACAAACCACATTAAAAGTTAAAATTATTAATAATGTATCAATTTAAAAGACAAAGATTTATATTAGGTTAATTTTTTGTGTGTTTAAAGAGATATATCGAGAACTTGCCATCAAGTTTTGCTATTTCAAGCGCCTTTTTGCTTTCTTCCACACTACCAGCTGTAATAATGATTTTTGAAAGATTATTTTTCCAACTTCTCTCTAAAACCTTGTCTAAATCTGGCTGATGTTTCTGAGATCCATGATAAATGCCTTGGTACATAGAATCCGTTAAATTAGCTCCAATATCTATAACAATTAAAACGATAAAAAAATATTGCAACTTCATCTTCTTTTAATATAAAAAAATCTGCTTTAATATGAATTATACAATCTATAAAAATACAAGAAAATTATACGAGATATTTTACTTCATGTACTAAGAAATATTGACAATGCTAAAATAAATAATGCTTTTTTTCAGTTTCAAGGAACACGAAGGTACTATAAAGAAAAATTTTTCCAGAAAATGCGATAATTAAAAAATTCGCACAGTATCGATTAGAAGCGATTTTAATGGATTAATTATTGATTGTATCGATATAACCTTTACACGAGGGTGTGTGTTCGTGACGCTAGATAAATTATGGAGTACGCGATTTCGTCGAGATCAGACATGAAAGATAATCGAAGTACGTTTACCTATGAACTTCCGTAGATTGGACATTCTAGCTCCGAGCATAGGAATTGCTCGTGTGCGAATTATCCGAGCCCGAGGAATTTGGCTCGATATTAGATGGAGAGGTTAGCAGGTGTCACTCGTTTAACCGACATTGCGCCTTCATGCGCAGTAGTATTCGTCTAGACGCACAACATCGATCTGATTGCTGTGACTACCGAATTTTAATTCCTTCGTTTGATTATAAAACGATGGATATATCTTTCGAATTTTGAAGAGGATATTAAGGAATTTATATCCGCAGATTATATCACTAATTTCTATTTTTATAATATATGTAAATTTTCTGTAACACAAATTTAATTTATATCTTATAATATTTATTAATAAAAGCTTTCTGTGAGAATTTAATGAACTGAATTTAATTTTACTTACATTTATTTTTTAGATAGCAATTGAATCGAGAAAAATATTGTAAATTAAAATCCATTGAGAAAAATATTATAGTTATGTATTCGTCCGAAGAAGAAAGATGTTATCAACAATTGTTTTATTTAGATACAACAGTCTTAGAGGAGGTACAACGAAAACGTAATTATACGTCTTTTCCTACATATTTATTACAAATCTTAATTTACGATACAGAGATATAAGAGTTTCTTTTCTCGCGACTCGATGCATTTGTAAACTTATGGAATCCTAGTTCGTTTATATTCTCACGAATGGAATATTAACAGATGCGATAGAGATTTGTATTACTGTATTGCAAAAATACATCACATCGTTGCTCTCAAATTCGTTCGCGGAATGCGATTACTGGAGCGACTTTACGATCGCGTTGATCTTCTCGACGCACTCCTCCTTCTTCTTGGCGATCGCCGCCTCCGCCTCGACGAACTGCTGGCGACCGATCTTCCCCGGGACCAGTTTATCCACGTACAGCGTCTGCTGTTGGTTGTAGAGCTCCTTGAGGGAACGATCGCTCTTTTGCAGCTCCTGCACGCGATCGTACACATCTCCGGATTCGCCCTTCAGCTTCTGCGCGATCTCGTTGAGCGCGCTGGTGGCCGCCTTATAGTCCTGGTTGATGCCCTTCACCGCGGCCAGAAACGCGTTGGCATCCTTGTTCGTCTTGAGATACGCCAGCTGATCGTCCAGCTCGTTGTAGGTTGTTACTCGACGATCCTGAGCGGCCAATATCTTCTCGCACTGTCCGGCGATCCTCAGCTTACTCTCTGACGCCTCGTCCTTGTCGATGGAGAAGTCCAGTCTCACGTATATTATGACTAAGAGGAACATTAGGTACAATGCTACCACAACCAGCAACGGCTCCTGCAACATCAGCAGACGTGGGAATGTATACTTCAACCTGAAACTTTGGATATGATTCTCCACCAGATTCTTCTTGGTCACTGACACCACCGGACGTCCGGTGACGTCGAGATATGTGTAGTGCAGAGAATCCGCCAAGCGGATCGTGGGATACGGTAATTCCAGCTGTATATTCCGCGCACCCTCCGGCAGAATAATCTTCAGAACTATTTCATCCACGATCATATCGTCGAAGATGTGATCCAGCAGTCTCATCTCCAGGGTGTACTCGTCTCCGGAATGAAACAGGTACTCGTAACTGGGTACGCTATAGCCGATCGTGTAGCGAGTCTTCCAGCCACCAAACAGCGGGAATCTTGGCCGCAGATTCAACTCTACGGAGTCCTTCTTGATGCGGGTGTGCGACGTGGAGATGTTACCAATCTCGTCCCTGTAATAGATATCGGAAGCAGCTGCTGGCAAGATGGTGTCGAAGCTCTGGATGCTGGCCTGTCCAGACTTGGATTCACGAGCGTACTCATAACGAGAGAAGGAACCTTTCAGCAAAGCACCAGTATGCAAGAGGTCAATGTGCTCTTCGACAGCTATATTACCCCAGTGAGAGATCTCCATGGTTCTCTCAAGCCTAGTCACCGTGAGAAACTTATTGTTGTTCTCAAAGTGCACTGTCAGCTCTTCGTAAGCAAAAGGTGGTTGCTTCTCGAACGGTCCATAAGCTATCGCTGAACCGGTCTGGGAGACAGGTTTGATCTTGGTGTAGCTTTCAATGTTGCGCGATGGCAAAGCCACATAGGTCGTCTGCTTGGTTACAGCGTAGGGTAAATAAGCGTACACATTTCCCGTGTACTTGACCAGCTGTTTCTCCTGCTGGGCAATCTCCTTAGGATGCGGTACCAGCTCGTGCGTGAGTATCGTCTCCACCTCTATGGTGAGAGTGCGTCGAGGTGCCAGATTGTTGGCGAGATCGATGGAGTAGAATACCTTGTCGCGATGCGCCTCGACCGTCTTGATCAGCGTGACCTTGAGCTCCAGTTTACCTGGTTCCACGCGTGCCGAGATGTAACTGAGGGACTCCCTCTGCGCGCCCTCCAGGCAGTAGAGAAAGCGCTGAATGGCTCGATCCTTGTTATTGTTGTCCAGAACCACGCGGGTGGTGATCTTGGTCAGCTGGGATTGCAGATCGATGTGACGTTCGATGTTCCTGACAACCAGGTCCGGGTCCACGAGATCGGCGGCGTGTACGAGCGTGCACGCGTAGAGCGCGAGGACGCATATTAACGCGCCCGCGCGAGCACGAGACATCTTGGGTGTCCTCGGGAACAGGGTCTACGGGATTCCGGATACTGACGGTGATAACACGCGCTATCGACCGGCGTGCGCTAGGTACGTATGTGACATAAACGTGGCGTTTATCTATGGCAGTTCGCGGGCATATATCGATATACGGACGTGGCCGATAACCGGCAATCACCGACCTCGTTCTCAACGCAAGTTAAAATTGTGTTCGAGAATAGTCTGTCATTTTTTAACTTTGCATCGCCATTTGTCGCTTTTTGCTCCCTCGTCCTTCCTCGAGAGTATTCCGATCTCAAATAAATTTAGTCGAATAGCAGATCACAGTTGCGATCACATTAATTGTAATAGAGGAAAACGATGTACATTTAAACAATAACGAGATATTTTTGTCTGAGAGTTTCGATCGATAAACCGTTCTGAAGGCTATATTACACTACGGGTTGTGGGCTCGGTTGCGGTTGGGTTTACGGTTGACAGTTGCGGATTGACCAATCAGAGCAAAGCAGCTTGTCGGCTGATCAGAATTTGACTAATCAGAACAAAAGGGACTACAACTTCTTTGTCCTGATTGGTCAAATTTCAATCTTCAATCTTCAATGCGTAGTCTGATACGGGCTTAACCTCAATCTCAACCTCAACTGCAAACTACAACCGAGTCCGCAATCCATAGTGTAATACGGCCTTAAGACTGACCAATCACGATCATTCCATTCTTCAGAGGAGTAGCTGTGATTGGCCAGTTTCAAAACTATGGATATTAAACCCGATTGAGGTAGCTTTCCAGCATGAAGGAAAAGAAAGGAGAGTTATCTACCTAGATTGAAAGTGGTCACGAAAAATGTTCCGTATGTGGCCAGGTTTGCCGAATGGAATAACTTGGACCATTTCGTCGCCATCTTGAATCTTCTGGCTCCCACTCTTCAACACTCGGTCTAGATATACTATGTCTATGATAGTGTGTCATCCAACACACTTACTGATCACTAATACAACTAAACATAACACTATATATGTACGAATATTCAAGATGGCGACGAAATGGTCCAAGTCATTCCATTTGGCAAACCTGGCCACATACGGAACATTTTTCGTGACCACTTTTTTTCTCTCTACACTATCGAGATAACTCTCCTTACTCTTCCTTCATGCTTTCCAGCAAGAAAACACAGATAAACACAATGGCCGCATTCAGCAGAGAAAACCGCATAGTAGCAATCGAACGCGATTGGTTCTTACTTTTAGAACCAACAAATCAACGTTGAGTGTTGACAAGACGATAACTAAGCGCTTTCTCTGCTGAACACTCTCTGGTCTAGTTTCCACCGTAAGTATCAATTCGCATCTATCGCGGCGTAGGACTAAATTTAAGTCGATGGAAACGTTAAATTCGATGCGCACCGAAACAGAATCGGACCGATGACTTCGGTGGAAACCGCGGTCCTACGCCGCGCTAGATGCGAATTAATACTTCGGTGGAAACTAGACCACTGTCACACAACAAGCTATCAAATAGAGAATTTTTAAAGTCTCGAAAATTTTTATATTTGATAGCCAATCGTGCGTTTTTTGCTGGAAAACACCCAATTATATGATTTTGTGTTGTGTGTTTCTTGCTGGAAATCTTCCTAAAAATTTGTTTTATATAAAACATATTTTCTTATTGAATATCGGATGTCGTGCATCGAAAATTGCATGCAATGTGAATCCTCCTTTACGCTCTAAAAGCATCGTTTTATCTTTGTAATGCCCGTATCAGACTACGCATTGAAAATTGAAGATTGAAGATTAAAGATTGGAATTTGACTAATCAGAACAAAAGGGACTAAAATTTTTTTGTCCTGATTGGTCAAATTTTAATCTTAAATCTTGAATTTCAATCTTCAATGCGTAGTCTGATACGGGCTTTAGGGTCATCGCACAATCAAAAATATAAGGAACAGGAACAGATATTAGCGATTAAAAATAAGGAGTGAGGAACAAAGAGCAGTTCAACGTATAATAAAAAATACAATCAATAAGTTTCTTAGCTAGTATACATCACATAATCTGAAAAATTGAAAAGAAAGTTACTTTAACAAAAATCAAGTCAGTTCCTTATCTCTAATACCTGTTCCCTGTTCCTTATATTTTTGATTGTGCGGGAGGCCTTTACTTATAGCGTTTTTGAATGAACGGGTTAATCTAAACCCGATCAATTAATCACTATATTTTACTATGAATTCGAGTCTTTTATTGGCAGAGACGATGCAATGACGTCATTAATCGCTTTCAGGGTATCGATCATGTAACTTTTCCCCTAGGGCTGAAAAGTGAAAAATTTTGCCATTGATTTCAATGCTAATATTTTTCACTTTTCACGTTTCCGCCTTAGGGAAAAAGTTACATGATCGGTACCCTGAAGCCTATCGCACAATGCTAGGCGATAGCGATAGCGATAGGCTTAAAAGTTGAATAAGGACAGAGCACGTTCATAGTGCTAAAAGCATGTTCCGAGCCCGGCTTAAGGGTGACGTGTCTATGTATCGCATTGCGGCATAAAATATGCGCGCGATTGGTCACGCAGCATGGTGCCGGAGCGGGCTGGCCTGGGCTGGCCAATGGACGCTTGGATCGATCGTGGCAGCGCGTGAATCGTCGATGAAAATGATGGTGGAGGGGCTGAAGGGGGCGGAGAAAGGCGGAAAGAGATGGCGCTCATTGTTGCGAGAGTTTGGCGGGTTAACGCAGCGGCGATTGTCCGGTCTATCTCTTTCGTAGTTAATGGTCGCCGCGAGCCGTCCGCTGGAGAGTGTCGGTCCGATTTTTCCTACGGAAAACACTGCTTCCCGTGGGTCCATCGTCGTCGTACGCGTCGTCGCAGCAGCGCAGTAGGAGTCCCTTTGGTAATCGCGCATCAATCTACAGGCACGGTGAGTTTATCTCCGCAAAAAATCTCTTCTCGGGGGACGGTACGCGCCACACGGTCGCGCCATCGCCGGAGAGAGATCGGGCTCTCTCTCTGTATCGCGAGGGGACCGTGCGAAATCCGGCACGTGGTCCCGTCGCTCTCGGAGCCTGGCCCCCGTTCGTACTCGAACGCGATTCGCCATCCGCGTGTCCGCTGCCATATAGTAAAATACATAGAAAATACGAGGCGAGCCCGCCAGAACGCGCGGTCGCGACGCAGCGTCATCGTCGTCATCGTCGTCGACGACGGGCGGCATCGCCAATCGCCATCGTCTACGCGCGATCTTTCCTTCCGTGCCCGGCGCAAAAAAAGCGCAGCGCGCGCGCGGCGTCACTCACGGATGCCATCTTCACGTCGCGCGGCGTACATACGTACATACGTATATACACATATACATACCGCCGGCTGAAAATGTGGTAGGGGTCCGGAGGGGGCGCGGGGCGAACGCGGAAAGAGAGAGAGAGATCGAGCAAACGGATCCGAGCCATAGCCACGTTGTACGGCGTCGCGAAGAACGTAGGAGGATCGTCGTCGGTTGAGCGAGCGAGGGAGAGCAGAGTAAACGGTAAAAAAAAAACCGCCAACTATTCGATTACCGCGGAGTTCGTTATCGTCGTCGTTAACGGTGTCCGGTACGTCGACGTACCCGACGCCGCCGTCCTCGTGCGTGTCTCTTCCCCCCCCCCCCCCCCCCCCCGNCTGCCTCGATTATCCTATATTCGCCATCATCGACGTCGCGCCGAATGTCCTCGCGACACACGCGGGGCACACGTGTGCGCCGCGTTTTATCCCATCTTCGGCCGTTAATATATATATATACAGAGGCGTGTGGCGAATTCGGGCTCGCGATGACGCGAGAAGGGATGCCATTTTATCAAACGCGTTTCGCGTGCGCGCCGCTTCGATCCGTTCGGCGCCATGCGGAGTGGCCGCAGCAGCCTCGTAACGCGCTATTATCCGGCCGGCGCTTCCTGCGAGCGAGTTCGCACGGCCTTCTCGCTTATAAAGTGCACATTCACCTGCGTGTCTTGCCTTCCTGCCCGTCTATCTCCCCTCCGCCCCCTTCTCTCCCCCGCGCTCGCCGTCCGTTCATCGCACTCCGTGCCCGCGCACGCGCGCGCGCGCGCGCGTTCCAGGAGACATATGTGTGCGAGGCGCGCGCGAGCGCGTTAGATATGGCAGATTTGTCCGCGAATCGGGTACTCTCGGCCACGAGTACGTGAAATTCGATCGCGATTTTCGTCCTTTTTTTTTTTTTTCAGCGATTGTATTATTGTAATTCTGTAGTTTGGATAATGATATTGTAGGTTTGGAATTTCTCCGGTATAAACGTGACAAGTCTGCCGTGAGTGTGAAACAATGCGAGTGTATATTGCTTGTAGTTTATATGTGTAAAATTGTAAATTAATTAAGAATATGACGTAAAACATAATGCGAGATATATAAGTAAACAGTATATGACGTCAGAAATTAATATTGCAACGATATTTGAATAAAGTAGAGATTAAAATATATAAGAGAAAATTAGAGATTAAAATATATAAGAGTTTAATAATATCAGATAAATATAATTGAATATATGTATAATTACAGATTAGAAGATGAGTTCGAGTGCGTGTTACAAATGTAACCGTATGGGCCACTTTGCACGGGAGTGCCCACAAGGCGGAGGTGGAGGCAGAGGAGATCGTGGACGCGACAGAGATGGTGGTTTTGGACGCGGCCGAGAGAAGTGCTTCAAATGCAACCAATTTGGACACTTTGCGCGTGAATGCAAGGAGGATCAAGACCTTTGCTATCGTTGCAACGGTGTTGGACACATCGCTAAAGACTGTCAACAGGTTTGTATATTGTTGCGATTCAAATAGATATTTCCAATTGTTCGCAGCATTTTAATATTCTGTCCTGCCTGCAGCGGATCTTTGCGGTCAGAGTTGGGAACTCTGCATTATGACATAGAGACTGTATCAGACAAATTCATAATATTTTTTCTGACAGGGACCGGAATTGAGTTGTTACAATTGTAACAAGACTGGTCACATGGCGCGCAGCTGCCCGGAGGGCGGCAACGACTCCGGACGCTTTGCCATGCAGAGCTGCTACAATTGCAACAAGACGGGCCATATCGCTCGCAACTGCACCGAGGCCGGTGGCAAGACTTGCTACATCTGCGGCAAGACCGGTCACATAAGCCGCGAATGCGATCAGGATGACAGGAAGTAGGAGACAACCGGAATCCGTGCCGCTCGCTTAACGATAACGATAAGCCGTTCACCGTCGCGCGCGCCACTACCGGGAATTGTAGCTAGGTAGGGATGATGCGGACGTATGTCTCGTTGACGCGTACAATTCGCAGAGGACGCGTATCGCCGACATCGTCGTCGTCGCCATAAGCGTCGTCGTCGTTGTCGTCGTAATCGTTCGAATTGCCACCATATACCATGCTCCCAATTCCCGGAGGCAAGCCCCAGCCCTCCTCGCCCTTTATTCCCAAATCTCCTTCCCCTCTCTGCCCACCGTTGTTCTCTTCGCAAGGATTTTTTTTTCTTAATGATGTCTTTAAGTTTTTATTGCTGTTACACCGACATACATCAACACATATACATTGTATTGCTACGTGTGAATGAGCGCAGGGTTCATCTCCTATAAACAACACATTTAACATTTACATTATTACACGTACATGATAAACACTTTCTACACAAAGCATACATATACACATCTATATAATAATATTATGAACATTCGATTGAATTAGAATGTAGAGACATGAGTCCTCTGTCCCCCTGACCTTCGAACTGTCTCGTATGCGCATTGTTTTCCGATGCAAGATGTATGGATTTTCAGGAAGTTCTAACATGTGGTCTCGCGAGATTCAATGCGTGTCTGGCGATATTCGCGCGGTTCAAATATAATGCGCAAGATATTCTCTTTTACGCGTTCCCTCGAATTTGTTCGAACCAAGCAAATTTTACAAAACGACTAATATGATGAAAACATAAGAAAGGAAATAAAAGAGCAAACTGATACTCGGCGCTCGGGTAGACAAAGAGGAACATTTTTTTCTTTTTTTTTTTTTACATTGACACGGTTTATGAACAAGTAATCACCAAGGCACAGGCTCACGTCGCAACAGTTTTCGCATCCACGCATCTTGTATTCTCCGGTCCTCCCTCTCGAACTCTCTAGCCGACACTCATAAATCGACAAAAGAAGGAAAGAAAAAATGAATTCGAAAGCGAAAGCGAGAAATGGAAGAAGCGAGAACACACATGCCGGCCCTGAATGCATAAAAATAAGATTTAGTAACGCTAATTTTTAATGTGTAAGGATGTAATGAGGATCTCGCCGAGCAGTCACTATATGTACATCATTTTTGCCTTTTTTTGTTTTATCTTTTTTCTTTCATCATTTTCTTCCACCATATACCGGACTCGTCTAGTTCCGTACAAGTACGGACAAAGCAATGTATAATTGTAGGATTGTCAGTGTTTACGGGTTTATATACAGTTATGCCGGGTCTTTTACTCACCCACCCCGACTTCGACGAAGTAGGGCGAAAGAGAGAGAAGACGTGCGCTTTCTACGTGGTTTCATCAAGCGTAAAGAGAACGAAACGCGACTTGCGATTTAATACCAGTATGATACGTTCGAAACGATCGCTACATCACGATATGTGTGTATATATACATATAAACACGGTAGTCTGTACAAGTTGGTACATTTTGTACGTACAATCATATAATTGTTAATAACATAGATTCATATTGTTTATACTATCGCCGTTCATAGACATTCGCTGTTGATGGACATGCGACAAACGAAAGAGGAGTTCTTTCCTCCTTACAGGAGAGAGAATATACCAACCTTAATATATCCTTACATGTTGCTGAAAATACTTCGTTACTAGATATATGTATATATATATATGCGCATATGTGTATACATATATTTATGCATATGTGCAGGAGCTGTATTTTGTACTGTAAAAAGCTAGCTTATACTCTGGTCGTTGCTGGTGACTAATTCCGACGATACGATTCTTCTTTGTATTGCCATGAGAAAATTATATTTTTCATGTATAGAGAGTACATGTTACTGAGATCGATATATATACTTTCTTCTTTTCCTATGCGTAACTCATAAGTTGTGTAGGAGCAAAATTTGTAGATACGGTCAAAAGAAACGAAAAAAAGAGAAAAAAAATATTGCGATGGATTCGAGGGAAAAAAAAAAGACTATCCCTGCCGCCGCGCGCAGGGATGACCACTTATACTCGACGCGAGTACAAAACGAGATTTTTCTTAAAAGAGAAAAAAAGAGACTTGTGAGCAGCCACGCGAAATCATGTTAAAGAGAGAAAGAGAGAGCCGCGGCTCGTCCGATCGCGGCGCGCAGTGTTCATAAAGTTAAAAAAAAAAAAAAAAACGAAATTAGAATAAGAAACGCGATTAGATTTCCGACTACTTTTTCCAAACAATACCGGACCACGTTTACAGTAGAGCGTGACACACGCGATATCAACTCAATCATCTGGAAGCCGGGGCAGCGAGATATCTTTATTCAGATCCGAAAGACGGATACGCGCGGACGTATCCGCGCGCGCTTGCGGATTCAGTGGTTTTACCAGCAGCGACAATTGTGTATTAACGTTCAGAAGCCAGGCGTGCCTGACTATCTCGATGGAAGGAAAGATCCCGGGTGAATCCGCCGTCACCTGCGGCGGCGGCGGCGCCGCGCTCGGGGAGGTATTTCGTGTAGTAAATCCAGGTGTCCTGCAACACAATTTTATACACTTAACACACACGTTCGGGACTTAATTAAATCCGGATCTCATTGCGTAGTTTCGGTGTGCTAGTGCTCACGATGCGAGACTTGGAGAGGATCAAACAAATTGTACTTCGCGCTATTATCGGACTTCGCGGCCTCTGGTGCTATCGCCCGGTGCACGGACATGCGTTGGACCAAGTCCTCCGTGAGTGGATGACGACGAAAGATTGGAATATCCTTCGCGTTATATTTAAGGATCTTCTTCAGCAGTTTAAATCAGGATCCTTTACTCTTCTCGATGGCATCGAAAACGACGACATTACGAAGTAATTTCCAATTTTTCGGATGTCTTTAATTTAAGATTTTTCTCAGAGACACTTTTTTTATATATTGTCTGGCTGGGAACGTTTGTAAGAGAGATTTAATGCAGTCGAGTACACATCACATACGAGTAAGAGTAACAGTATCAGTCTGAATGAATATCATGATAAAATCGATTCCCTCCGCGACACAGTCTCCGGGTTTATTTGCGGCACCAGAGGTACGGACGAGAGCATATAATACGAATAATTATTATAAAGAAGAAAAAAGAAAAAAAAATACGAGTGCGATTAGGGCACCTGCGCTTTTGTCTCTGCTACAAGACTTACGTACGAATATTGTAAAGAGTACGACTGTTACAGTGTATGAATTTAATTCGACCGGCGGCGCACGCCGGGTCCACGGCTCGACTTATATATTAAACTAATCTATTAATACTTAAAAAGAAAGGAAAGGAGAGAGAGAGAGCGACAGAGAGAAAGAAAGAAGAAGACAAGGAGGATGAAGAGGAAGAAGAGTAAAAAAGAAAAAAATAATCTGCAAAATAATAAAAAGGATTGTGGAGTATTTGAAGTTATGTTTTTAAACTGAATTTTTGAAATAGAATGTGTACGGAGAGGCAAAGAAGGTGGATATTTTTTTTTTCTCTCTTCCCCAACGTTCATATTCAGAGATGAAAATGATTAATGCATGTGTGTCAGATCGTATTTCAATGATAATCTTATTCTTTCTCATTTTCCTTAAATTTTTTCAGGGTTGGGTAAGTTAATTTTTCTTTTAACTAAGTTAACGTTAAAAGTTATTTAAACAAAAATTAAAAATTCAGTTAAAGTTAAGTTAAAAAATTATTAACTTATTAAAATTAAAAGTTAATTAATTCTCTATCCAACAGCAAGTCGACACGTCCGACAAACTTCTACGACAAATGAAATATTCGCATTGCGATTAACTATTTTCATACGATTTTAATATTGATGAATTATTTTAATTCGTATAAAAAGAGTTAATAAGTTAATACATTTAAAAATAACTAGTTTAAATTAAAAGGGAACACGTTTAAAATTAATTAAGTTAAATTAAAAGTTATTAATTTTTTAACTTAACTTATTTAACTAGTTACTAACCAACCCTGAATTTTTATAGATCTTTTCACAGATCGTCCAGCGAGTTCACGGTTTGCGATTTCAACGATCGTGATTATCGGCCGTATATAAAAAAAAAAAATTATGTAATCGTACCAATGCCAAATGGAATCTAACGCACAATCTGCGTATCATCGTGTAAATGCGTAATGAACTCTGAACGTTCATTAGCAATTATCTACATATTTCAAGCGTTTAATTTTATGGATTATACTCTTCTACGATTCTAAGCGATTTTATCAGTGATGATTTTTGCTATAGACTAAGTGACAATTTTACACGTGAATTTCGAAGGAAATTCCACGGTTGTCTTATGCAGATTTTTGCAATATCGTGGAATAAATAAAAAGGAAAAATCGGCCTAAACTATCCGTAAAAAATAAATCCGAAAAATTCAAGAGCGCTTATAATTCTATATTTTATATATTTTTTTTTTTATCTACATTAAGCTTATGAATGAGCAAAACCGTAGAAAAAATAAGTGAATGGACAGTCGAACGAACGATAATATCCCGAGCGAGAGTAAAAATAACTGCGCGGAGCACCGAAGCGTAAACATCGATAAGAAAAAAAAAAAAATTTATTTTGATAAGCGCGCGAAGGTAGTTAAAAAAAAAAAATTGTTTCTCGACGCTAGAGAAAGAAAGAGAGAGAAAGAATGTCGGCCTTGGGCTGACAAGCGGAA